AGTGTAGCAACCAGCTAGCAGATACCACGGAGATGCTGGTCTCCACAGTTTCCAGTAGCAGTAGCAGCTCGGTGTCCGGGAGCGGGGCTGGGTGCTGCTGCTTCAGTGTGGTTGGAATTCTGTCTGGGAAGAAGAAACGAAGCAGAAGAAGATGCAAAATGATCTTATTTTAATAAAAGCTAGCACCCAAACCTTTGACTTTTGAGCTGAAATGCTTGTAGCACTAAAATCATCTCCTCCTTCCTGATTGTTTTCCTAGTTTACCTGCCATAAATTGATCAGTTTGGGCAGCTCCGTGCTGCAGCAGTGTGCTCAGAGCTCCCATCCATCTTTTCAGCAGCACTTTATAATGGGTCAATTTTTTTCCTTTTTAACACAAGAAGGAAACTTTTCTGTTTTGCCAAGCCCCACCTTTTCTTGTCCTGTTCCTTTTAAAGTCAGACTCTTTTTGTCATCGTCTGCTCTCTTCTGTTTTTCCTTTCTAATTCCCACCCCAGCTGGTGGTGGGTCCTGTCGAGGCAGGTTAGCCAGAGGCTGAGCGGGGAAGAAGTCTGGGCCAGGAATTGGAGACTGGAAGGAGCCTTGTGAGGGGGCACAGACAGGGATGTTGGGATGTTCTGCTGCTGTCCATTGGACATGGTGAAGACATGCTGGAGTTGCCTTGTTGCTACTTATGTTTTCATGTTGGCTTATGAAACCTGGGGGAGAAGAACTGGAATGAAAAATAACTTTTTTGTCCAAACCCTCTGTTTATCAGTTTCCAGTGTGTTTTATCTCTGTGTGCGTACTGTCTGTAAATGTGTTGCTACCTTGAGAAGGCTGCAAGTTGTCAAGCCTTAAGAATGGGTGTGCTTTTCTTCATCCAAATGTCTTGCTACAAAACAATTTCCCTTGCTCCTTTTTGCCTCATTAGCTTGTGTGCTAACCTTTTTATTTTGGACTCCGTCATGAAGACGTTGATAGGTGCGATGTGTTTCTTTTTTCTGTTCTATGCGTGCAATAGCACTGTCATCGTGTTTTCCCTCTGTGCATCTTCAATGTTCTTGCCATCCACACTCCCTGGTTTTCGGTGCGTTCTCTTTGATGTGATCCTTGTTTCTGACAGTTGGCCCTGGTACATGCAAGTGTCTCATCTTTTGCGGAGTTGCAACATGACCCAGACACTGTTGCTCGCTCTGCTAATTGTCTCTGTGCCGCTGTGGACCTCTTGTTTTCCTCTCAGGTTGATATACAGACTGGTTCTGGCATCCTGTTTGCTCTCCCTGTGATTTCGGAGTATCTCTGAGGTGGTAACTTGGCTACTGAAGGAGTGGAATGATTAAAATGATGTTTTATGGATCATTGCTGGGGGAGGGAAGCTGTCAGCTGCTTTTGTAATTTTTTTGAAGGAGATTATTAAAATGTATATTCTAACTTCAGTATTCACTCTCTGCTGTCACTGTTCTTCGTCTTTCAAAGAACATTCTGGAAAATGAAGTGTTATCATTAAGATTACATTAAAGTGAATTACAGAAGGGAAGAGGAAAACTTGAAGAGTCTCAACAGTTCAGAACAGAAAGATGTTGGCATCTCATTTCCTGGGATGTGGAACAAGGAACATTAATAGACTGATAAACAGAAATGGTTTTTTCTCTTTAAGGCTTAAAAGATTTACTTCGAACTTGCAAAGATTTTTAAAAATGCCAGTTCTCCAAGCTTACGTTGAATGGAGAAACTTGAGCCTATTTTATTTTATTTTTTTTAGTGCTCGTTTTGAGTGAGCAATTACTTTTGAAAAGCCGTAGGTGTCATCAGTGTGGAAGAAGAGTGCCTATGTCTAACTTTAATGGCATTTGCTGCTGGGCATCTGCTTTCAAATCCTGTTTTGTGTCAATAAGGTATATAACTTTATTTTTTGATATTTTTCTGATAGAGACAGTTTGTGTTGTATTTGGTGTAGTTTCAGGAAGAATTATCGATCTGTCCTAAGCGAAGAAGAAAGAATCTCAATAATTTCCTTTGGCTTGTGTGGAGAGCTGTAAGGGAGTTGAATTTCACGCTTCCTACAGCAAGGAAACCTATGGTAACAGAGTCAGTTCAGAGAGTTTAAGTATTGTCTCTGCTTTCATAGACATCTCTGGCATTTAAATTTTGTGTACATTAACATCACATTTGATGTGAGGCTGAAATATAAAGGGATGATGGTGGTCTTTCCAAGCACCGCACAGTGGCTGAGGAAATTGCCATTTGTCTCTCTCTGCTTAACTTTTTTCGTGTTTTAAAACAGTCGTGGCTGAATGTCTGAGAAGTGAATCTCAAATATTTTTCATTATTTCAAGAAGGAAACCTAGCACATATCCCATTTTTCTTTGTGAATGTCAACTGAATCATAATCTGTCAGTCCACTCAGCATTTATAGAAGTAGGTCACAGTATTGGGAGATGAAGAAAAAAAGGTTTCTCCATTGTGCTATCAAAATGTTTTGTAATGATCAAATGCAAGATTTTGGCTGTTATGTAGCTTTTAATCTTATGTTTGCATTTTTTTTCTGTTCTGACTAATCAAGGCAAAGTTTCTTGGATAGAGCAAATAATCTTTGCAGTAAGGTTTCTATAGTGAGATTTAGTTTGTTATAACACAGGTGATAAGGTTTTCGTGCTGATACTTCCCCTAAGCATCAGAAAATAATATTGTTGAACAAGCTGTGATGAATCTTAAGACAGTGGCTGAGGTTACCTGGTCTCACCCATCCGTTCTGCCCTGTATTGGTGACTGACCTGTTGCTTGGTAGGCTGGCACGTATGCATGGGCGTGAAGTCTGTCTTAGCACAAGCTTAGCAAAGTCTGTCTTAGCCCAAGCCCCACGGAAAGGGGGAGAAGTGTTTTAAGCCTAGAATTTTCAGAGGCATGGTGTGATGAATATCCCTGTTACATTTGAAGATGTCGCCCAAGTTGTGTCCATCAAGTGGAAATTAGTATCAGCCTAACTTGTCCCTGACGGGGTGTTTAAAGTGTGGGATGCTCTGTTGTGAACCGAGCATCTGAGGTGTGAGCACTCGTTTGAGTTTGCTAGCTCTACTGCAAACCTCCAGCAAAAGGATGGGCTGGAGAGCAGCGGTGGCTAGCTTTATAATTTGGCAGCTGTCACTTCTGAAGGATGTGGTTTTTTTACACTGCAGTTAATGACCTGTTGCTTGTGACATTTGACATCTCAGTTATACCACTTAATTTTATCCTGTATTTCGCATCGTGCCAGGACTCAGCCTGTTGTTTGTCATCTTTGGAGGGTGGCTTCTAGGAAATTTTTTAATATGAGTTTATTTTGTAGAAGCAGACGAGCTGATTCTCAGCTTTATCCTGTGTAATTCTTGCATTGTTCAGTCAGACAAAGGCTAGTGTTTCCAGTAAGTACCCATAACACTGAATTTGAGATGTTTGCCAAGGTTGGGATGGGGAAGGGAGTGTCCAGTGCAAGGCTGATGGCGTTTCATGTTCCATCACCAGAGATACTACTCTTGGGCACAGGTTCCCTTTTTAACTGATTAATTAAAACAGAGCCAAGGAAGTAGTGATGCCCTGGTAATGAAATTATCCATTTTCAAATGCAGATTTGAAGCCCTCTTGATGAATTTTCCCACCTGAATACAACAATGAAGAGACTATTTCACAGTCCCCGATTATTAAATTGGTCTGTGAATGGTTCCAAGTTGAACTGGAGCTTTAAACAGGCTTCTAATTCATTCAATGTTTTAAAATGCGTATTTTTTCTTCAAGAAGGAGGATTTTCAGGTAGGGGACAGCTGCTTGGGGATTTTGGTGAATTCCTGCATAAATTTCTCAAGAAGCACAACTTGGTGACCTGGCGGTGCAGGAGGTACTTGATTTACACTCAGTGTCTTTTAAGGCAGTGTTGCCTTTTGGATTTATCTAAACAGTACCTTAACAATAGTGTTATTTTATTTAAAAGCATTTTTATAAATTTTCTTTTAATTATAGTGATAAAGAATACCCCTCTGAAGCACTCATAAATTTTCTAGTGTTGTTTTTGGCATCAGAGAAACACAGATCTTCTGTTCCTGAGTAAGCTAGAGATGTTGGTTTTGATCTTTCTAGCTTGCTTGAGGGTTTTTGACTTGTGTGCACTACTTTTTTTTCATGTCCTGCTCACTCTTTAAATACTTAAAGTTAGTGCAGTCTTGGATAAACTTGTCATGGTTAAATTGTGAACTGACTCTTAACAGTCACAAGAATTATTTCACTCTTATTTTGTTATTGATCAAGTACTTTGCCAGCGTACTTGATCTGTGATGAGCTGCTTGATGAACAGCCATCGATTAGTGTCCTGGCAGCAGACAGAGTGCCTGAAGGGCATGCGTGAAGAACATCTCCAGGAATACGTGGATCATTATGCGTCACCATGTCATGCCGCACAGAGAGCTGAGAAGAAGAGGGACCAAGCTATTTTGGCTTAATGAGAATCCTGTCCACGTTGCAAAAGAAGTGCTCATCACCTGGCCTCAGACAACGTTTCTCTTCCAATATAGGTTGCTGGCAAGAGCAATGTGCAGGTGGTGGCTATAATTACTTGCTGAGTGTTATCTGTCTGTCAAAGTACATCATATTAAACCTCAGTTTTACTTCTACTTTGTTAGAAAAAGATTAAAAGATACAGTAGAACCTGAGATCGTGCATCATTTGTTGAAAACAAGGCATCTGCTCAAAAGCAAAGTGGTTGATTTTGAAATAGATATGCAATTATTTAGATGCTTTGTTTTTATGACATTCCAGTAATCATCTTGTGCTGAACAAGAACGCTGTCACTGGGGTGGTTCTTCTCTCATATCTTTTTCTGAGAGCAGCTGATAATGAGCCTGCAGCTACTTGGTTTCCAGTGGTGCAGCCGCAAGATGAAATGGCACCAGCCCTGGTGTCCTGGTATCGTGGTGATGCTTCTCCTCTGAGGTTTTTCTGATCTAAGTGGCAGTGGTCAAGATTTCACAGGTCTGTATTATCTTTTTTAGTGCCCGAATACTGGAGAAAGCCCGGCAGCAGCTACAGGAAGAAATACTACGGATTCAGAGCCACCTCTTGGATGAGAAGAAGAAGCGTGAGCAGCACGAAGCACTGGTGAGACGGCTGCAGAAACGTGTACTGCTCCTCACCAAGGTGTGTTTCTAGATAATGTTTGGAAAAGCCTGTGTCCTTACGTTTCCTCCAGGTGTAGTCCTTGCTATTTCTTCTTTGTTCACCTCTGTAACTTGTACTACAAAGTTGCTATGGGGTGTTTGCATAGCGGGGGCTAGAAGTTAATACATCCTGAGGCTTTGCTGGTGTTCCCCACATCTGGGCTTGTGCGGTGTTGGTGATACGAGACTTCGTCTCAGGCTTGGCATTTGTGTGAGGGCAGAGAATTGAATCATGTTGTCACTAGAGTGTTTTGAGCCACTGAAGGGAATTTATAATGGCTTTGGCTGCATCTCCTCCTTCCCTAAAAAGAATCAAACGACAGCACCTTGTCAACTGTTCCTGTGGAAAAACAATTTACAGAGAGTAAGAGATTCACCTACCTTTTGTGCTGAAAGTCTGTTTGAATGTAATGGTAGGCACTAGACCAGTAAATTGAAAATATGTTTTAAGATTTTTTTCTATAGGATATATCAAAGAAGTCTGCATTATCCTATATCAGGTATGCTCTCGTGATGAAATTCTATACAATAATTTTGAAGTCTGTAGAGCATTGAAAACTTTATATTGAATTCTGAGAGTGCTCTTTACCCAAAAGGAATAATAATTCTCTGTAGTCAGAATGATAGGTACTTCACTTTCCAAGAATACTCCTCACAAAACTTCACTCATCTGAGCAATCTCCCTGACGTAGTAACGGTGGTCATGTGAATAAGTTTATGTGTGTGTATAAGGTCAGACTTGAATAGTTGGAGCGAGAGAGAGCCAGGTACATCACTGTGTACAGGGAGGAAAGGTGCTGGTATAGGAGTGTTTGAGCAAGAAGGAAAGGAGCTGTTATGTTGGTTGTACTTTAGGCTTTAATTTTCAGTGTCGACTAAAGCATTTTCATCGGTTTTAATTGTGCTGCACCCAACTCTGTGTAATTCCGTGTCATTGTTAAGCCACAGAGTCTGTGAAGTACGGTGTGGTAAGCAGGGCTGCTTGGAGCATGAAGCAACTGCTTTACAAGACTATATTCTGTCAGATTTTCTGGCTGCAGAATTTAATGCCATGGAGAGTCACATAAGTGAGAAGAGAAAAAATGACATCAGTTCTTTCTGCTTTACACTGAAGCAGGGACTACAGTCGGGGGGGATGGACCAAGCTCTCCCCATGGAGACAGAAAAGGCCTCTCTTCTCAGTCTCTCTAACACCCCCGGCAGCAGCCAGCCCTCCATACTGTTCTAGTCTGGTACTGGCACGGGTGGATATGATGCAGGTGGATACTCAACCTGATAAAAATCCTTCCTTTACAACCTTCTCAGCTGGCTAGCATTGCGCTGGGCTGCTCAGCCCTGAAGGAAGTTTCTCAAATGGTTCCTAAAATATGCCATTTAACTCATTTCCAGTCCTCAGCAGAGCCATGTTTTGTCATAGAACACGAAATATCATTACTTTTCTTTAAGTATTGGACAAAAAGACAACAGTACTTTGTCATGTAACAGATTGTACCCTAATTTATATAGAAAGGCAGAGCCTTTGCTTTGTTTGCTATCCTCCTCTGAAGAGGAGTAGAGGGAAAGTTGGAAATGTCCTTCTTCAGACCATGGTGAATAAACTTGTGTTTTGACAGTGTAAGTTTTCAGGGTGCTTAATGATTCCTCAATTTATCTGTTTTAAAGGAATAAAGACTTTGCTGTTCTCTGAAAATTGATATTCCGTGCAGGGAATGCTAGGGGTCTTTTGTGAAGAAGTACGTGCATTGTGGCACTTGGGCAATCTGTCCTTGGCACCGTTTCTCCTACTGGTTGCTCTTCTCATGCAAAATCAGAAGGAGAAACTTCGTTTAATTAAAAAAGTATGATATTGTGATTTAAAATGAGATTGAGCAAATATATTGCCTGTTAAAAATTAATATTTTACATTGAAAGCATATCACCTAGCATGGTATTTAATCATCTAATTAGTGGCATCAGTAGTACAGTATGCTTCCATGTAATTTGAGAATGGAAAAGATGAGCTTTCTCTATTGAATCTTTGTCTTGTTAAATAGGACTGTGAAAATCTAATTTGGGGGAGACAATTATAGATATGATTGAATTGCTATTGCTTTTGATAGTGTGATTTTTGCATTTGTGTATGTTTGACCCTCTAGCAGGGCAGTGAATCTGTCCCTGTATGCTGAGCAAATAAGGATTGAAAGGCATCAGACGTGTTTAACACTGCAGGTTTAATGCGGTAACAGCTGTCCTTTCTTTGGGCTCAAACTGTAACCTGGAGTCTCAGGACTTGGATACGTTTTAGAAGATCAGTAGGAAACGATAAGCTGTTATTCATTTGGTAAGAGCAGTACCTAATATTTTAGTAGCTAGCATACTCTCTTCAGGAGGTACTTGCTTTGCCAGTCTGATTCCTCCTCAGCTTACTGATTGCTTCTCAGCTTACACTTATGGCTATTGAATTTTTTTCCTCAAGATTCAAATAATATTTTTTGGCTTTCACAGATTGCCTGTTTCACTTGTTCAGTCTTGTTCATTTTCTGCTTGCCGCAGTCTCTGCCTTTCTTGGTTGCTCTCATGTTTCCATTTCAGTACATTTAACTTCTTCCTCCATTGCTTGCTTCCTCGCCTCATTTACTTCTTTTGGGCTTTCTTGACCTTTCTTGGGCCTTTCTAGTTGCTTTACTGTTTGGAATTGGCACAGTTGTCAGTCTGGGATACTTTGGTGAGTCACTACAAATCTCACTTCCCTGGCAGACTTGAGGAACAGCATTCTCCAGGCTCTGACATACCAGGCAGTGGTCCAGCCTGATCAGTTCCACCTCTGACAGTGGGCCGGCCTTGGAGCTGCGTCCTCGCTATTCTGTGTACAAACTGAAGTTAAGAACATGTGAGTTGATTGCTTTCTCCCACGTGTCCTTGTAAATCAGGGCGGTACTTAAGTTTTCTGATCTACATGTTTTCAGTGAAACATAAGACTAGACGTGGACACCCTAGAGGTTTTCAGATGTTGATGGCTTGAAGGTATCTCCTGGACTGTCGCTCTGTTTGCATAAGGTGATGAAAAAGAAATTGATGTTTGAAGGGATGTATTCACTCGCTTTTTTAGAAATCCACTGGGCTCTGTTCGCTCTCTGTGCTGTCTTTTTGCTTTAGCTTTGCTCAGAGTTTTAGGGAAATCTTTAATCTTTGCTTTATTACTTGAGGTAGCTCCGATACAGCAGGAGTAGGAGATGTCTGAAATGCTGGGGAAAGACCTAGTCTACCTCTGCCCTTTTTCCTGTTTGACTTACTGTTGTATTAGCTTTGAATGCCGTGTTTACCTACACAGTTTTGTATTTGACTTTTGTGTTGTCCTTAAGCTTGTGAGTATTTCTGTTTTTCTGAGAGGTTTGCATACAACTGCTGGTCTTTGCTTTAATGAAGTAGGCTTATTAAAAATAGTCATTTCTGCTACTGAATGGCTAAAATTTGAATCTCTTAGGAAATATTATATGACTTGTAGGTCTTCCGAAATGAAAAACCCTTTCTGAAAATCCTTATCTGAGTGCAAACAGCTGATTGAGTCAGTGTTTAAAGGAAAGAAGGCTCTGGTCTATTGGTTTCAGGAGGGCAGCTTTCAGGAGGAACAAATGGACCTTGTGCAGAAGAAGTGAGGATGGAGAAAAACAATAAAGGCACGCTGAAGGGTTCCCAAAGCCTTCTGATGTGGAGGGCCAAAGGTTGGCTTGCATGGATCTTTTTAGGGTTGTCGCCCCCTCCTCTCCTCATGTGATTTTACCTGGTCGTAATCAGCCCTTAGCTATTTCTGTTACTTAGCTGCTGTTAGGGATCAGCCTATGCTGCACGCGTGCGGCTCAGTGACTCCTTCGAACGGATTTCTTCTGTGCACAGAGCTGGTGGATGTAACTGTAGGAAGCTGCACAGTGAGCAGAGGGTTTGACCAGAGACCACATGCCCTGCTTGCTTGCAGCCAGCCTGTGATCCTTCACAGGAAACTCTTGCCTGTTTACATACCCGAGAACACAAAATGTGAAGTGCAATTTCATTTACTTCTTGTAACTTATCCCAAATGAATCCAATTTGCTTCTCAAGTTCTAGACTTTGTGAATGTACACTGTCCTAATTGCATCCCTTGCTCTAGTATAAGGCATAACATAGCAAGTGAATTAATCTGCTTGTAATGGATATTGGTGTTTTGCTGTGTTTATTTCCTGTCTGTGCATTTGTCTGCCTTTGGGTACTCCGCTGCCCGGAGAAGAGGCTAAAAAATTCCATTTTGTTTTCTGAGCGTTCAACCAGATCTTGTGATCTGATAGGAAAGCTGTTTCTATTGAGACGTAATTTAGGCCATCACCATACATGTTGGCAATTAAATAAGTATCGATTAACCAACTCCAGCCGACTGTTTGTACCATGTGTTCCTGGAGATGTCTGCGCAAGAGTCAGTGCGAAGTATGTAAGTGACTCCCAGAGCCGAGAATGGCAGAGATGCGTCAGAAATGGGACTAGGTAATTAAACTGTTCGTTAAGCGTGGCAGATGCAGAGTTCATGACTTGATTTGCCATCTGCTTTGTTTTGTAATCAGTAAAGATTTAAAATAATGCTGATGGTTTCTCTGTCATATTGGGTCCTGCATTATGTGTTTTTCTTAGGAGGTAAATGATTTTAAAGTGCGAGGAAGGATCTTAAGGTTCTGGGGGTTCAGTGAGGGAGGTGAATTAACCCTTTTTCTGGGATACGTAAAGGTTGAACTTTAAATGTTGTGCTCAGTAGCAATAAAAACAGGCAGTCTGGCAAACATATGCCTTGCGACAGACCTTCTTCTGGGTATTACACCCTGTGCTCTGCATCCAGGTAGCACAGGCAGCTTTGGGGCAGAACTGAGCTGCTCCTCTGTGTTATGGGCAGCATCGAATGCTTTTCCCTGGCAGTTGTAATACGATGCCTCTTCCTTCGTTCAATCCACTTCATGACTCCATGGATATCATTTAAGCAGC